TATATTGGCATCTAGTGTCACACTTTAAGTCAAAATGTGTTTCCTTAAATCACTACAAGAACCTAATATATATAAATTCAGTTATCCCTCAATGGTAAAACTTTTAGCAGTGAGGTTGCAAAAAAAAGGGTCATATGGATGAATTTATTTGTCTTAATTAATATAATAATTGTATTGTTTTCTGTCACAGGTGTACAGGAGGAAGTGGAGGAGAACGGTATCGTGCTGGATCCTCTCAAAGCCACGCATTCAGTGAAGGGCGTGACGGGACACGAGGTCTGCCACTACTTCTGGGGACACGGCGGTCCGAATGGACTGGGCAGAGTAAGTTCACTCAGAAGTCACCTTCATATCACAACCGTTTGACTTTCTCTGTTTTTAATCAACAACAACTGACGATCTCTACTTCCTTCAGCCACTATTGAAAACTTCAACGTTGTGGAACGCTCTCTGATAACGCCTGTCATTGTTACCAGACGCACAAGGTAAATTCCTGGTGGTTTTGAAACATGTTGCCATCAGTGATGTTCTGTAGCTCTGACTGAATGCCTATGTTGTGTTTCAGAGAGTGTGGCCGGCCTCTCAGAGAGACGTGCTCTATCTGTCAGCCATCAGGAAGATCCTGTCAACCAATGAGAACGACCCCGACACGTGGCTGGTGTGCAACTTCTCTGTGGACCACAACGATGCCCAGGTCAGATTACCTCATCAACACCAGTCAATATCATGCAGTGGAGCGAGGGCGATGTGTCAGGCTTCCAAGTGCTTTGAATAGAGAATAATTATACGTTTGGTTCATTTAAGCATATCATTACAATAACCTTTAGTCAAACAGATAATTGTGTAACGAATATTTGAGATCTCTTAACCCCCAGGCCCTCTGTCAGATAGCTAGAGTGAGACTTGTGGCAGCTTGGAGTTTGTTTTCATTTACATTTTTGTTTTACTTCCAGCCCACAAACCGGTGCGTTCGTGCCAAAATCAATGTTGCTATGATCTGCCAAACGCTGGTCAGCCCACCAGAGGGGGATAAAGAGATCAGCAGAGACAACATCCTTTGTAAGATCACCTACGTTGCCAATGGTGAGTGTCTCTCCAGCCCATTAAGGTATAGATCTGTGTTTATAGATCTGCAGCCTACAGAACAAAGCACCCTCCATCATCATCATCAATCTAATAATGTACCTACAAGCGCCTCAAGATTAACTACAAACTACTGTGAGTACCAGAAGGAAGGGTTTTAGCTGAGGCCTGACTCCCAATACATTTGGGTCAAAATTACATGTCTTGGGTGAAGATTGATGTTACTGTAGTATGTCGTTTAAACTGTACACACGACATCTATTGCACGTCTGCCCGTTCGATGGGTTTCATTTGTGGGAGTTTTTAGGACAGATGATGTTGTATGTCATATAGATTAGAAAAACCCCCTGAGGCAAATTAGTTATTTATCAAATTGGGCTTTAAGATTGAAATGTGATTGATTGATTCAACTAAAATCCCACAAGTTATCTAAACTACAAAGGAGAGATGGAGGGAAGCATGAATAATGTCAGAGACTATCTGACATTTATGCTAATTCACTGGCAAGCCGGTAAAAACCATTTTCGTGAATAATAGCCTCAGGCCAGTAGGAGCTCAAATATCACATCAGCCTAAATAAATACAGCTTGAGTGAGCACATGAGAGGTTATCTGGGGGGATGTTTGTTTTGTTGACTACTGAGAAGTAGCTGCCAGTCACAGAAGTGCCTCAAAGAAAACAAGTGCCTGTAGCTTGCTTCTTACTATTTTTTTGTTTTATGTTCAATCCTATTATTATTATTATTATTAATGATGTTACTGAGTTGCTATTAGTTTGTGTTTGACACCCTTTCCTCAAAAGATTCAGAACAACCTCATACGAGCCAGTGTTTCACTCTACCAAGAGTGTGCGTGCTTCCGTCTTTCAAGTATTATTCCAGACTTTTACTTCCCCTGACTTCCTGTAGGCGGGTTTATTGTGACATGAAGCGGCGCTGGAGAAAGTATCCAGAGCCAGTTTATTGTTTGTGAAGCAGGACAGGTCAGGGGAGTTGAATAAGACAATGCCACTAGAGGGCAGCCTAGACCTGTTTGTGTACAGTTTACGCACACTGTGGGTTTAAGTTAGATTAATGGTGTTCTTGTCAGTAAGCACACACAGTTTCCTGATGATTTCCTCTGTGTGTCTGCAGTAAACCCAGGAGGCTGGGGCGCCGGCCTCCGTCCTCAGAGCCGTGGCCAAGAGAGAGTATCCCAAGTTCCTCAAACGCTTCACCTCCTACGTCCAGGAGAAAACTGCTGGGAAGCCCATCCTCTTCTGAACGCAATGAGGTAACCAGGGGCAGTCGAACACTCATTACACTCAAGACATGGTGCTTTATCTGTATTTAAATGTAAGGGGGGTTCGTTTAGCATGAAACACTTGAAATAACTAAAGGATAAGTTAAAAAAGAAAGTGAGGTCATAGAAAACTATTTCTGCCAAAAACGTTAGCAATGCAGACCTAAACATTTCAGATGTGTGTATCTCACACTGCCACTGTAACTTTAATTCAATGTACCTTTTTGTTTTATTATCTTTGCTTTTAAATGAGTGTTTTGAAATGCCTTTTTATAATATGTTTCTTAATGTCTTTCATTTTTATAAAGCACTTTGAATCGCCTTGTGTTGAAAAGGTGCTCTATAAATAAACTTGCCATACAAAATAGTTCAGCTTTTCTTGGATATTGATTTTTTAAATCTTTTGTTTCAGGCTTGCGGAGGGCCACGTTCGCCCAGTGGAAAGACTACATTGTTCAGTGTTGAACCGGCGCTCAAAGACTACTTGACCCATTCTCCATGTGAATAAGAATGTGTTAAACTACTACTCGCAGGACCCTTTATCACCGAGGACGTCCTGCTGGACTCCTGCTTGTAGAAGAGACTGGTTTTACGGCTTTAACCCATCAGTAGTTGTCGTCCCGGCCACCATGTTGTTGGTCATGGGTACACTTGTATGTCAATTCAAGAATTGCCTAAGTGGTTTTTGAATTGTTGTTACCAATTATTTGCTTTTTTTTTGTAAATTGTTTTGTACATTTTCTTATGATTACCTATTTCTTGACTTTTTTTTTGGGTTTGCTTTAATCACTAGTATTACAGCTACTTGTTTTGCTGCTGCTAAAGTAACTACCATGAGAGAGGGGAGTAGATTTTGATAAGAAAGCATTGATGAGGTGTGGTGCAGCGTCTCTTCCTCCTGCCTTCTCCTGTCCCTCTGGTGATGACTCTCTTCGCGGTTTGATAGGGGGGGGGGGGGGGCAGAGCCGAAAGCTTTGAAATCTTTATATTTCTAGATTGTAATGAAACTAGCTGTCAGAAAGCACCAGGGACACAATGTATTGTACAGAGAAAATATGTTTTCAGTTAGTTTACCAATGTGAGAAATGTGAATTGACTGTTAAATGCTTGAATTTGATTACATGCATGGGCCAAGGACACTTGAAGCAGCAGATTAAGTCATGTTGGACAATATTTTTGACACGGTTGAAGTGATAATCAATAATTGGATATAAGTGTAGTTGACTGTGGTCTATAGATGCTTATTTGCGGCCTACTGTCAGTGTGTATTTGTCGTTAAGCCCCACATAACACAGGTTTTGACAGTTGTTTTGCAAAAGGCCAGCCAAAGTGTCTCATGTAAAGTTTCCTCTCTTTTATTGAGAGATGAGTGGATACGTTTTATAAACCCCCAGGTGGATTTTTAGCAAAGAAAATGTCATTCATGAGTGTCAGGTTTGTAAATTAGTCCCGCTGCTATTGAGCAAGATAAGGTAACTTTGTAATATGTTGAGTAGGATATCATCTACACCCCCCAGACTCTTAGTCATACTCTCACATTACATTTCACACGCCACACTACAGTGCAGTGGCCTCTTGCCCTTTGACTGATAAACTACCCGCAGAATGCCTTGGACACCAGGATGGAAATCCAGGTTATATTTACTGTACAGCCACCAGATGTGCATTTATCAACACTGAAATGAAGCGGGGTGGGGGGGGGGGGGGGGGAGGGTCAGCATTTCACATCATCTTACCTCAAGATTTAAATTGACTTTAGATTGTATTTGATGACATCGAAGTTGGGAGTTTTGCAATCACAAAGAAATCAGATTTTCGGTCTAAGGGGTCAGAATTAAGGAAGGATCTGGATTATTGTTTTGCTGATGATTACAAGAGCTAGATCCACGAGCAATGTCAGCCGAAGAATGCGTTTAGCGTTTTTAATTTTGATATTTTGTCAGTAATCTACACACTTTGTATATTTCTAAGTTGTACATCAGAAGTGTTATTATTTGCACTAAATGTAATGCAATTTGACAATGTTCTGTAAATTAAAATTGTTACACAACAGAAGCAATAGCACTGTTTAAGTTTAGTAGTACTGCTGTGAAAGTGAGGGTCATTTCTTAAAGTGGGCCTATTGTGCTTTTTGTGTTTATCCCTTTCCTGTAGTATGTTATAGGTTTTTGTGCATGTAAATGGTCTGCAAAGGCTAAAATCCCCAAATTCATTCCAGAGGGATTTTCTCTCCCACACACTGAAATGCCTCGATTGTAATTCTTTGTTTACTTCCGTAACATAGTGACTTTACTATGTAACACTCGTGGTTATATTGGCTAGCACTCCCAACACATTACATGCGATACTCATAGGCAAGGGGTGGGACATCTCTTAGTAGTTGACAAATCACAACAGAGGTGGCCAGCTAACCAATCAGAGCAGACTGTGCTCTGGTTTCAGACAGAGGGTGAAAAGAGGTGCTGCAGTACAGGCAGTATGCGAAAAATAAAGAGCTTTTTGAACGTTAAAGCATGGAAACATGTCACAGTAGAGGCACAGCATATAAATTGAATCTGAAATTCTGCATAATAAGGCCCCTTTAAAATCCCAAAACAAAGACTTTTTCAGAAGCATCATAAGCTCAACAGAAGACCCTGACATTTTAGCCATTTATTTATACGAGTCTCTAAATATAAATATGCATTGTCTTTACATTCAGCGATTTATAGTATTTTTCAGCAAATGGTAAAATATTGAGATTTACATAATAAATTATGGTCTCAACCGACGTGTGATCGTGGAATTCAACATTTATAGTCGGATATGGTCTTGATGATGGCATCGGACAGCTTCTAATTGTAGGCTGCATGTTCCATAACTTCTTGAAGAGGACCCACTTTTTCAGTATCAAAGGATATCCTGAGTTAAAGTCACCTCACAAACTATTAGCTCCACATCAAAATGATCTACGATGTTCCTTCACTGTCTCTGTACATGTAGTATCAAGGACTTACAGAGGTGTGCATTTGTAAAAGAGGAAATAAAAGTGCATATTCACATATCCAATGTGTGCTTATGTCAGGTAGCCCACCCACTAAAGCAACTTCTTCAGAGAAAAATATTTCTTACAGTAATCATAACGATGTCCAAAGTGCCTTTTTGATCACGAGCGAGTGCACCGTCCCTCGGCTCTGTGCTTCATCAAAGATCCAGTACTGTCCTTCCTCTCTTCAGGTTATCGTCAAGGCAGCGTGAACAACAGCCCAGTAAGGGAAAAAGGTTGCTGCTTTAACCACGTCACAGTCTTTGTTTGGCCTCCGGAGCTTACAGAATCCATCATGTTTGTTCATGAGAGTCTTTTCTCCTCCTTGCTGGCTTGTGTCACATCCTCGTTCATCAGGGACAAAGACGACGTCATAAATTCACTGTAAACATTTCTCTTCTGATCAGCAACATTGCAAACTTTAAAAAGGTCTGGTCAGCAGAGAAACACGGTCAAAGAAATGTATCTACCCTCTCCTCATATGTATTAAGATATAGTAAATATCTCGATCTTTGTGTAGGCCATGGAAACAGAATACATGTATAAAACTTAATGGCACTGCGTTGATGCATGCTCTAAAAAGCGACACAGCCTGGTGTTCATCACATTACATTTGTCACATTGTTCCTGCAGATGTCCATCGCATGTCCGTCGTGTCTTCTTTTAGTCCATCAACCGGTGGGAGGATCTCTGTCTTTTTATGTGTTGGCAATACGAGTGGCAACATGGATCTAGCAGCACAGGAAGTCAAAGGCCAGCCTGGTTGGTTAAATGGAGTGCGGTGATTGTCTGATGATTGGCAGGAGGAAATGGAGGTTTTAACGCTGCTCTTTTCACTGTCAGGGACAAGAGAGAAAAGGGCGATCATCAATGTGGAAAAGGCCTGAAGGTAACCAAGCTGAACATCTAGAACAGGGGTGCTCAAACTTTTTTCACTGAGGGCCACATACAGAAAAATATACGAAGGGCTGGGCCACTCACTAGAGGTGAGGTATATTGCCTCATAAATTAAGTTATAAGTTAGCAAAATCAATCAAATGTAGTTAAATTATGCTTGGTACTTGAATGTGCTTTAAGAAAAAACCCGCCTACATCACAGATCTCCATAGGGTTTCATTTATTTTGTTAACAGCTCATCCCTTAAAACAGAAGCGTCTGATTGCTTATAATAAGGGGAAATATGAAGGGTCTATTTCAAGCTTGTTATACAAATAGGTTATTGGGCTTTTTTCTTATCAACTTAGATTTGTTAGAAATAGTTTTAAACTTGAATTGACTTAATTTATTTGAAAAGTGGACTTATTAACACATGAATACACTACTGAGTAATATATGTTTACATATATATTTCAGAAGTACAATCCAAGACAAGCACAAGTTTCATTTGTGGGCCATATTCCATTATACTTTTACAATCTGCTGAGGGCCGATTAAAAATGGCTCGTCGGTCGCATTTGGCCCCCGGGCCGTACCCCTGATCTAGAACCAACACCTTTTATAAAGACAAAACCTAATTGACCCCACAGGGACCTGAATGGAGGAACACTCACCAAGTACACATCCAGAACCGAGCCGTCATCGCGGTCTAGGTCCACATCCATGGTGCTCTGCTCCGAAGTGAGGCAGATAGCGCTGTCCTCCAGGGTGAACGTGGAGCTGGAGGCAGCGTCATCTCTGAAAAGGAGCAATAATTCTTCATATTAACCTACGTAGGAGACACCACTTGGTGTTTATAGTCTGGGTCAGAGGCAGCTGTCCAAACAGCGCTTAGAAAGTGATGAGAAAACACAGCCTCCACAAACAAATCACATACTATTGCAGAGAGTCTGACATCAAAGAGACAGAGAGATGTACCGACTGCGAGCATGACGGGAAACCTGTCTGCTGCCGGCCTCAGTGAGAGGCTTACAGTCTCAGAAATGTCTCACAGGAAATGAACAAAATCTCCTTAAGATTGGCCAGATTTGAACACAGTGACATAATGCAAGCCTTGCTGTGATGGTACAAACCTAAGAATGTAATAGTTGTAGAAAATTGCACAACCTTTACTTTGATTTGAAATTCTGATTTTAATACTTAGGAAAAACTTAAAATATATGAGGATTTGAATGACCTATGAAACCATCCGACATATTTAAGTAACTAAAACCCTGAGTGGGTTAACAGATCATTAATTGGCACCAATTAAGTTCATTTTTTTAATCCTACTTTAATACTTTTACTTAAGTACCATTCTTGATACAGTGCTTTTAACTATATTTACAGAGTGGTATTAGTACTTTTATCTCAAAGAATCTGAATACTTTTCCCACCACTCGATATTAACAAAAACTAGAACATGAAAAATACATTTGGAAATAGAAAATGGCTTTACAAAATAATTCACAAATGTATCAGAGAGTAAAACCTACAGAGGCATCACCTTCTGTAAGAGCTCAAAGAAATGTAAAAGACACAAAACCTCTTAACTTAAAACTTGCCACCAGCAAATACAAGGACTTCAACAATGAGAGCACAAGAGACTGCATCAACACATGAGTCACGTGACTAGGTGTAGCTTGACCTTTAGGAGAGAGCATTGTTCTTTTTCTACATGTCAGCCACTTGAGAGCGGTTTCCCAGGTATTTACATCAGGTGACTCCCTGATAAAGAATTTGTACACTTTTATGACTTGTGAGAAATTCAAAATGAAAGCCAGGTGGAGAGGAGTTCAATCCCACCCTGACACATCACACCCCGAGGTGTTAGCCCTGTAACTGGGACACCGGCTGTAAGACAGGGATGATTGTTGGTGCATATATACATTCGCCACGCCACAACATTGTCCTCCTTTGTCCCAGTGTTTCTGCAGCATAATGGCACAAAGTAAGGCCACGTCAAAGCCCCCGTTTACATATTTATGAAAACAGTTGGCAGAACAATGTCAGCGCAGCAGCAGGTGACTGATGAAGCCTCAGAGAGCGAGCTGAACCTGACACTGCTGGACAGAAGGACAAAAGGACAGGGGAAAGACGGGAAACACATAAAGGGTGGAGGACGACATTTGAATGAATCCTAGCCACCCTGATGATAGAGTGTAACAAAATAAATGTGGTGTAGTTGTATTACAATCTAATCTTTTATTAGATTGTAATATAGTATGATACATTGAATGAATACTACTAGAAATTGCTGTGAGAACTTCTGGCTGATAAATAAGCCAGTGAAGGCTTTCAGGCCTTGAAGAAAAAAACAGATAAGCCGTTCAATGGAAAAAGGAATGTTGTGCTTTATGAATATTCCCTTTTTTCTGTCTTGTAAATGTAACAGTACCCACCATCACACCTAATATCCTTTGACTGAGTATGTAGGCTGTGTGTGTGTATGTGTATGTGTATGTGTATGTGTGTGTGTGTGTGTGTGTGTGGTGTGTGTGTGTGTGTGTGTGTGTGTGTGTGTGTGTGTGTGTGTGTGTGGTGTGTGTGTGTGTGTGTGTGTGTGTGTGGTGTGTGTGTGTGTGTGTGTGTGGATGCATGTCACCAGGCCAGCTGAGTCACCTACTCCATGACGCACATGTGATGTAAGTGCAAAGGTGGCAATAACGTAGGAGTGTGTGAATGTGTGTGTGTGTAAGGCGTGGCAGATGTACTTGCCTTGCTTCTGGCCTTTAAGGTAACCTTGCATCAATGTTTTAAGGGTGATAAACGACACGCTCCACCCATAAATCAACACAGAGTGTCTTCATGAAAGCAAAGTGGACACTGTACCTCTCTGTCTTGTTGTCCACGCTGACAAAGATGGAGGAGGTGGAGATGGTTCCCATGGAGGAGCCCTCGTAGAAGGACGGGTTGGCGGGGACCAGATCGGGGCGCAGGTACGAGCCAAACACAGCTGAGAAGAAAAACACATTGATTTCATTAGGGTAACAAAAGTGCACACATACCTACATTTTACATCCCTGTATTTGAGTTTGACCCCTAATGCCTCGTCAACATCTTTTATACTCCATCCCTCCATTTTAGATTTCCTTAAGCTTCTTTTGGTCTCCAAACTCAGCTGAAAAGAGACTAAGACTGACTTTTGAAAGCTCTCTATCCATGATGACGAGTAAACTGAACTTTTCTTTGTAAATATGTCTACTTCTCCTTATTTTGAGTATACACACATAGACCAACCGACATCCACTGCCATAGATTTTTACATGTTTCCAAAAACGCCCCATTAAACAATCAGTATGATCAATACAGCGTTTTATAGTTGTTGACATCTACCAGAGGCAATTCTTGTATGTCCTTTGTGCTTTCCATTGTAGAGAGTTTAGCCTAATGACGGAGACAACGCAGCACATGAGGATCTGATTTAAGTTAATTGATTAAATGGTTCCAATAAAACTGACATATATTGCTAAAAACAACCTCATGCTCCAGTAAAACAGATTATCTCTGCCCTCTTTTGAGACTGATTTGGTAACCGTAAAAAGAGAGAGTCAGGAAGTGTAAAATATATAACTTTTATAGTATGTTGCGTCACAGGTGGAGTCATTGGAGGGGGAGCGCTCGGTTGTAAAGAGGAACGGCTCGTGACCCGGTGGCTCCACTTTCCGCTCCACACCCTTGTTGTGTATGATAACACTCCCACATCATAACAAACACAAAGGTCAGACGATGTCGCTGCCACACTTTTTCTCCAACATCTGATTTCTATATATTTTCTAACTGGGGGGTAAGGAACTCTTTTCATTTCTAAAGACACACACAATTCTGTATCTGATTGGCTGCATTTGGCCTGCCTCTGTTTCCTTTCCATTAATGCCACACACTATATCAAACAGTGATGGCTGCCCACTGGGACAGCGCTGAGAGGACAACATTTTTATGGCCGAATTCAAGTGGCTGTTTATGGCCTCATGTGAGGTGCTCTAATAAGCCATAAAAACTAGAAAATGACTCACGTTTAAATGGCAGATCAGGAGGCAGATAAGAGAGGGACATGTTGAAGATAACGATCAAATTGCACAGGCCTTCAATCGTTCTGAGTTTCAAACGAGCTCCTTGATAATTCAGGCTTTCTTTTTATCATCCCTAAATGTTCTCAGATACAGTATACTAGTATAAGTTGTCACAGCCAGAGTGAGGTGGTCCTTGTTGTGTTTTGTGTACCTTGTCCGTCCAGACTGGCCAGGCTGCAGGCCCCCCCCAGCCGCTCCCTCCTGTCCTCCTCGTTCCTCTCATCTGCCTGCGATGAAAGGATCTCCTGCGAGGACGACTTCAGAGCCGGGATGGACGTACGAGTCCTCTTTGATGGGGAGAATCGAAGCGCTGCAGAGCACAAACGTAGTAAGTGAGTGGAAAGAGAAGAAAAAAGAGAGCGATGAAGGTTCAGAGAAGCAGAAAAAGGAGAGGATTAATTGGAGGAGACTAGGACGATTATACCGATTGAAGCAATGTTCAAACACAATGAAACTCCAATGCCATGCCTCCTAAATAAGCAGTCCAGTTATTAAATGCAAAAAATGAGTGATGTGTCCCCCTTAGCCATCCTTATTCAACAAGAAGAGCATGAAATTAAATCCTTTCCTGTCATCTCCCTCTGACGGGACTTGGCGGCGCTTAATAGCACGGCTAAATCCCCAAATCTTTGCCTCAGCCATGTTCATTCACACAGGGGGGTCTCGCAGGGTTGCATAACATTGATATTATATTAGCTGTTGATGTGAAGTTCCACAACTACATCCTGGCTCTACCTACAGCCATGCCCAGTACTCAGGGAATTAACTTCATGGACTCAAGAAGATAATTGACCTTTTTGTATCCACCTCATTGGGTTTTGTAACCTTTGTAAATGCCAGACAACAAACTCAATCTGTTTTTAATCTCCTAGTGGCATGTTTGCCAACACAGAACCAACATGATGTTCCTAATAAAATGAAGTTATTCTCTAATGAAATCAAAGCTGACATTTCTACACATATTAGGCCTCAAATGCTTGTACAAAAGCTAACTATAGAAACACAATAACAGGAAAGAAAAGAAAATCCTCTGTCTGATCAGGCGGACAATACAAGGAAACACTACTCACTAATTACCTGAAGTGAATTTCCACTAATCTAATGATGTAATAGTAACACAACTGCTCAGCAATAGACAATAAAAACTGGCTTCATATTGACTCTTCTTATCAGGCCAGGATGTCCTACTTCCCACTGCTGCCCCTTCTCCTTGTTTGTTTGTTTTTACATGCGGGCTGCTTTCCCTCCCATGTGTGACGACGATGAACCTGCAGACTTACGCTGAGTCTTCCTGAAGACCCGTGTGCTCATGAACTTGAGGAAGCGGCTGGCATAAAACCCGGGCCGGTGCACCGAGACGGAGTCCTGAGGACAGGCAGAGAAAAAGCTTTCATCAGAAGGCCGGGAGTAGTATGTGACCAAATAAAAGGCTCATTCATGAAAGCACTGGAGTCAGATTTGAGCATATCGACTTACGCCATCGTACACCAGGGCTTTCCACGAGTGCTCCAACTTTTTAATGAACCTGGGGAGAAACAAAACAAGAACAAGCCTTGTCACAAAAAATGTATCCGCTTACCCAACAACTTCCTCTTTATGCTTGATCAAACCTGAGTCTATTCCCCCTTGGCACAATGCAAACTCAGGTCATTTTATTTAGCGTTAAAGCAGAAAATACATCAAAGTTTGAACTTATGTAACGTTGTCTCTGAAACAGGCTTCCAGAGGAGACAAATTGGGTCTATTCATCTTTCCTCCCTGACCCGGCGTCACCCCGCCCACTCAGTGTGCATTTAATGCCTCGACCAACCAGGCAGTCGTAGATTTATTTGATGCTTTCAAATGCCCGCAAGTTTGAGAAGCCGATGAGCCATAAAGCTTCCTCCTGGGTCACTCGAGGCTTTTGCTCTCAGGAAGGAAAAAGAAAATCAATGTGTAAATAAAGAAGACTTATAGACCGCTGTGTCCATTTCAATCGTGTCGGATAGAGAAAAGGTCCTTTTAGGAGTGCGGTAAAGTGGCTATCCATCAATGCAGGGTAATAATTCACTATTAAGAGGTCTGGTAGTAGGGCAATCGAAGCAGTTACTCTGAGGGTGATGCCATGCTGACATACTCCTTAGTCAGTCTTTAACTATTCATGCCCATTCCCATTAATTGTCCCATCTGTATTGGCTATTGTTAAGACATTTGTCTTAACATAAGACAAATATGTCTGCAGATTAGTCAGATCTAAATGGATTAAATGTCAAAATCATTAAAAGCACTAGTATTGGGAACCAAAGACAACCTAACCTCATAACGATCATTACCTGTATGACTGCAGAATATCTATGATGCCCAGGAAGATGAACAATTTTTCTTCTTTGTGTGTTTTGGCAGGGATGCCACCCATCCTAAAACAGAGAACAAACACACCCGCAGTCAGATAACAGCTACTGCTCTTCTTCCTCTTCTTCGTCAGTGCTTGAACTACTGCACAAATGTTTGTAGAAGAGAGACACTTTACAGTATTTACATTTGTGTGTATCGCTGTAAATACGCAGAACAGTGGCTGTGTTTGTATTTGTGTAGCTATGGTTATATGAGAGGCTGACTGTGTGTTCACTGTCTGAGTGCCCTTTGCAAGGTATGAGCACGGTTGTATAACTCACTCTATGAGAAAAAAGGTGGAGATTAAAAGAGAGACAGAGTGTGTACGCCCAGATATGTGTGTAAAATGTGTGTGTGTGTTTTCCCCAGCTGAGTCCACTCACGTGTCGTCTGTGGTGAGGGCTTCAGCAGCCTTGCCGTCTCCCTGGATGGACTCCATGGCGGTGGAGTAGAGCACCCTCTGACCCACAGGCCTCCTCCCGTCTCCCCCCCGCCTGGCCCGGCTCCCCCCCCTCCCTCTGGCTCTGGTCCAGGACGTGCACCCCCAGCAGCAGACTGTAGTCCATGATCTTAAAGCTCTCCAGTACCTACAGCAGGGGCGTCAAACTCATTTTTAGTTCAGGGGCCACATAAAGCCAAATGGGCAAAAAGTGGGCCGGACCAGTAAAATCATAGCATAAAAACCCTATAAATAACGACAACTCCAGATTGTTCTCTTTGTTTTAGTGCAAAAAGTACATTCTAGAATGTTCACATTTAATGAACTATCTTTTTGCAAAACATTATGAACAACCTGATATTTTGAAGTGCAATTTGAACAATATTATGCCTCAGTTTATCATTTACACATCTTACAAATCACAGTGTATCTACAAAGACACAAAAAATGTAGTCACCGGTATCTGGAACTGAACAATATATTATTTTACTTTATGATCAAAACCAACGGTCAAGATTTAGAAATTATTTTACATTCATTTCCACATTATGTGAAGTAATCCTGACCACCTGAACTGACACACCACCAACAAACTAAAGTGGGAACTATTAAGGAAAGTTAAGTTATCCCCCTGCCTTGTAAATGTATAAAATGTATACAAAATACATACAAGTTGTGAAAATTGCAGTTTATGTCTTCTCTGTCATTTGTACACTTTACAAACTCATCCCTGTTTGACACCCCTGACCTAGAGCACGTAACAAGACATGGAGTTGTTACAAAAAGTGTCCTTGGATAATGAATGGCACAAGCCGGATTGTAATAACGAGATATTTGACACTTTCTATCAACTACCAAAACACTTTTATAACCCCCACACACTTCAGTGCCTCAAAGGCTGTGAGCTAGCAGAAGGAAATCTCAGTTTGAACCAGTTTTGAGCTGAATAAACAAGGTGTTTCTCCACAGCGAGCCAAGTGTTACACATTGACCTTCAGGAGCCTTTCCCCCAGTTTCCCAGAGAGTCTGTGACTTCATGTCTCCTAGAGCTCGAGGGAAGCAGTCAAGGAGAGAGAGAGAGAAGCAAGAGTTTGATCTGGGAAAAGGATAAGAGACTGCCAAGTAGCCAGGCTTATGTTAGAAAAAGTTATTCTACTGGTTTATGTGGCGAAAGAGAAAATGAGTTATCAGAGAGAGAGACGTGAAAGGTATTTACTTTAGAGAATACACTTTCTAATCAATAGAATTCATTATCAGAAATCAGTCTGTCTCAACAGCTTAATGTGGGTTTGTTTATGTGATGCAAAGCCACAGAGAGTAGAGGGGTTAGGGAAGGCTAGGCTTGTTAAGAATCTGCCAACATTACAGTATAGTGACTAAGGAAGTATCATTGCCAACTATTTTGATAATTGGTCTGTGTGTTTTTCAAGAGACAAAGTCTGAATTGTCAGATTCCAGCTCCTTAAATGTCCTCTATGTGTAAACTGAATACCAATGACTTGTGGACAAAACAAGACTTGTGAGGATGAAACTGATTCAAGACAGTTTCGCTATTTTCTGATATTTTATAGACCAAACAACTAATCAATTAATTGTGAAACAAATCATGCCTATCCATAATAGCACATTCTTAAGCCTAATAAGATTAGAAGCTATAAAACTTGTGATATATCAAGGAAGCTGTGACCCAGAAGTTGGAGAAAACTGGCCCATTTCTTTTGATGAGCATGAGATCAATAGTGTTTTGAAGTTGACCTACAACTGCCTCTTGTCCTCCCCTAGATAATCCATCTCCAATGCCTGGTAGATATTATTAGTTGTAGTTTTTAACCCAGTTTTTATCTGTCACACATGCTGCTGTATAAAAGTCATAGTCACGGACATTCATACTCAAATACACAGACACAAAATAGACTTAATGACCGAGTCAAACAAACACTGGGGCTTTTGTCTGAGCTTTGCATTTACCATATCAACAATTTGCATCCTTTCACTCAAACTCCCCCGGCCTATTCAAACTGCATCCATTTTGAATAGAGCCACACACACCATGCTGCCTACAGAAGGCCATCGCTGCGTCCTGGCCCCGGCTTTCCCAGGCAAACAATCAAATCGTCACAGCTGAAAGAAAACAGCTGCATTTCTGTGGTTGTTTGTGCAAAAGATTTTCTACGGATATTCTGCTTATATCTACAGGCACGGGGAAAACGTCAGCAGTAAGTTGGTGGAGTAACACTTCTGCTTCTTAGAGGCCAAGTCTGCCCTCTGCTCTCCTCCACAGCTTCTCACAGTTAATTGGAAAGGCTAATCCTCACTTTGTCAAAGCATCCCCTGATCTTCAACATATCTCGGATGTTTTCTCAGTATATTCCACCCCGAAGCACTTCTCCACCCATATATCTCTGTGGTAGTAGAGCTTACTCATGTGCCCCACTTTGCAACGACACTAATTCACAGCAAGCTCTCCCAAATCTGAGTGTGACTGCTGGAAAGACAAAACACAGAGCCGTTATTACTCCTTTTGTGAATCCAGTTACAATCACACGAATGTTCCTGCCATTATACTGTATGCATCTACTATTAATTAAAACAACCTGCTACCAGTGACACATCATATTAGATTACGGACATGTTGTATTTACTGGAATGATAACAATCGATGATAACATCTCCATATTGTGCTCTCAGTAAACATGATATTCCCCTGGTTTTGACTTGTAAATATCTTTAGGTTTTTCTTACTCTTCTCTGACAGCAAAATGAAAATAATCAACTTTTAACTATCCGTGAAAAAAAACAAGAAATGTGAACACATAACCATGGTCACTGGGAATTCATCTATGCAGTTTTTCACTATTGGCAGATTTTATAGCCCAATAAATAGTTTCACCAACAGGCAAAACAATCAGTAACATTCATCCATAATGACAATAACTACTAGTTGAAGACCTGTGTATTTACCAGGAGTTTTCCATGTGTATAAATGTGGTTAAGGATCCTGTTGAAGCCTCCCTGACTTCTGAGTGCAAGGTCATGGCCTTGGTTTCTCCGCAGCTGAGAGTGAAAGAAGCTATTGTTGTCACAGGATCCCATGGGGGAGCAGAGGGCGAGCCATACAGTAAACGGTTGTTTATGATTGGCTGCACTTGCTGCTATGCAACTCATTATTGTCCAAGAATGCATGCTTTCATTGTCTGATCATTAGTTCTGCACTTGTTCATGCATGTATCTATAGCTCTTATTTCACAAATGATCAAACAGAATTTAAAAGGTACATGGATCTCTTTTTTGCGTTGTCCCCAACATGACGAGGTCTCAACAGCTTGACATTTTCATAGCATCACTTTCATCCTTATGTCTGTCTCGGCAAATCACACACGCACAGCCTGCACGACAACAGTGTACACACACACACACACACACACACACACACACACACACACACACACACACACACACACACACACACACACACACACACACACACAATTGTTTTGGCATTTGGAGAGTATCAGGGGAGCTGCAGGGTAATGGAGAGAGTAGATTTTAAAAGGAAAAAAAATGTACCCTGTGTTTCCGTAGCAGTGTACCATATTGCAGAAATATTATATTCCTTCAAACACAACATGCTCATCCTCCTCTTTGTCACATCGCTTTCTGCTTCAACTCAACTCTGACCTCCCACGTTCCTATGGAAGAGAAATCCCAACCCTGAGCGCTGGGAAAATAGCTAAAATGTGTTTTTCGGAGGCTTCACCACATTAACTTTTATCGGACAACAATCCCCTATCACTTCCTCATTCCCCCCCCCCCCCCCCCCTGTTCTCAGCCTCTGCCCCCCCCTCCTGCGTTGAGGTCCGCAGCCTCTCCTGGGGTGACGGGGTCAGCTGCTTACTCATGGAAATGGAAAAAGCGATTCTGCTTAGAGGGCACTTTGCTTCCCGCTTAGGAGGCGAGCGCAGGAAGCCATGACAATAATAAACTGTACAGCTGCTGCTTCACAGTCTCGCTTACATACATACAGACATACACAGCTCAACATATACTTACAAATACACAAGCAATATGGCCTGTACATGCAAACATAGTGGTAGACGGTGCACCCCCGGGGTAGGATTGGACTAAGTTTGAATGTGAGTGTGCTGTAAGGTTAAGGAAGCACTGACTTAGCAATAAGGGAGGATGTCATTCTGGCTGCAATGTCCTAAAGAAAACATTTAAAAGAAAATAGAGGACATCCACAAAGTCAGCATGTTGGTTAATGATGATGGGAAGGACCATAACCTGAGGAGGGCACCCGAAATCACAAGACCTGCTTGTGACCGAGATACTGTTTGACTTAAAGGGTGGGAAAGCAACAGTTGTATGCACCTGTTCACACACCTTTCCTGGAAGGATACTTTCTTTTCCCGAAAGAGAAACTCTAAACCACAAACCACACGCAGAACCAGAAAATGTCCTTCTAATGAAAGTCATGTCTTTACATGAGCAGTGATACATTCTCTTCTCGGTTACACACAGAAGAGGAAAGAGAAGAGAAGAGTGCTCTGTTGACTAACAAGCTAAACTAAATATACCCGCTGCATCTCACTGTTCATTACCGCTAACTTTGTTCCATGTGACATCAATCACTGTTCAGCGATAAAACCATATGCCTGTCCTATACACTTAACATTTTAACTTTTGAGATGAGGCTGTTATAATGGAAGTAATTGCAGTTACTGTATGTCAAGCAGAACAAATGGGATTACAACAAGGGGGGCCTTAAACCCCATCATTAACCCATCACTATGATGGTAAAAAAACATTAAATCAGTGTCTGGAAGTCACACTGTCATCACCAATAAAGCTATCCCAAGAGACCAGCCACCTTAAGTAATTTAGTTCTCTGAGGAAGCCATCCTAAAAAATGACAGTTTGACAAGCCAAGGCCGTATGTTAATCAATCCATGTGTGGATTTCTTTTAAATGATAGCACAACATTGGTTTAGGAGCAAAAGCGTATCATTGTTGTTATTCAAGAGGCAGAGGACAATCAAATCAGCAATTCAGCTCTTCTGTTGTGGTTCTTTTTTCTTTTGCCTACAATTGTGGTTGCAAACAATCAGCAAAAATATGAAATACATTAAACATGGTCCTATAGTCTTCACTACTAGGTTGTTTTCACATGCAATTAATCTTACACTGATGCAATGGACAAAAAATGAAGTCTTGGCAACACATTTTGTATGCTCTCTATTTTCAGGCTTCTGAATGCAAATCACACACACCACGTCTCCTGTTAAACTCCAGCTATTCTTCACCAGCATACATGTTCCTGGCCTCTGCGTTAAAATCTGGCAAAAATGCAAGCCTTTAGATTGGAGGACTATCTTTGGATAGAGCTCCGAGTCTCTCACGCTACCAGGATCATGTCTTAATCACATTCAGTGTTTGGAGAGCTGTCATGTAGTGAAACATCGCAGAGCAGAGACGGCAGAACAGAGCCCAGGGCAAAGAGAGCTTAGACTGAACACACAGTGGAAACACACTGCAGTCCCTCTGAAAAACACATGGAAAATTCTTATTTTCAAAACATTTTGTCCCATCCAAGCCACACACACACTGTCCTCAACTAGTATACAATGTAATACATTTAAAGAGCTGCTCGTGTTTAAGCTTCCATAATCTGTTCCAAGAATGAGAGGTCAATAACATCCCTTTAACAGCTATGTGGCTCCACTACGTAAGGGATAATGTGCAGCGACGCGGTCATTATGGGAAAAGAACACCGACAGGCTGATCAGGAGCCCGACGCGAAGCGGAGGGATCTAGATCTGCATGCAGTTTGCTTTTCGGCCAAACTGTATACAGTTCAATCGACCGGACTTCTTTCTGCAGATTTGAGCGTCCTTAACAACGGTCATAAATCCTTGACATCGGTCTGTCTGTTCTGGATTAACAACGTGTCACGTGTTCTGAATTGACCAATCAGAATCGAGTATTCAACTAAGCCATGTAATAAAGTCAATTAAATACCCAAATTACAACTTAGCCTCTCTAAACTACATCTGATATGACTCATATCAGACTCAATGTCCACACAGGTCAAAGTGTTTTAGTAAAGTAATGAAAATATACAACCCTAAAATGCCATTATATAATGTGTTATGCCATTATATAATGTGTTTTTACTGTATTTATTCTTAAAATGTCTTTTAATTTATTTTGTAAAGCACTTTGAATTGTCGCGTGCTGAAAGGTGCTATATAAATAAACTTGCCTTGCCTTGCCTTGCCTAACAGGAAAGACCTTTTGAATGAAAGTATTCAGATAATTAAATGATCTGATCTTGGACTTTCTTGTTTTGTCTTTTATGGAAAAATAGGGACCTTCCTGTTTTGGTATGACTTTGCTATTTTAAAGCAGGTCTAATAAACACAGAGAGACAGTAATGAGCAGAAACTCTCCTACCCGACAGTCTCTCTGCAGGGTCTTCATCAGGTTGTTGTAGGTCTCTGGGTCAAAGTAAAGCCCTTCTTCGTGCATGTCCTGGAAGTCCAGGTCTTTGTAGGTCGGACAGGACTTCTCTCTCTCTTTCCTGGACGCTCGCCTCTTGTAGGTGGAGCCCTTCAGGTCGTATTTATAGTGCATTTTGACGGAGCGCGGCAGCATGTTATTCATCACCACCAGCCGGATGTTTATGCCTCCAGACTGGATGCAGTACAGTCCGTAGAACTTGGGCAGCAGCGTGCGCGGATTCTGGTTCAAGTTCTGCAAAGGAAATAAGTTTGTATTACAATCATGTTTAACTGCATTTGTTTTACTCATTACATAACTGTGAAGGTAAAGCCAATATTAGATGCATCATAATTATTTAGATATCGGGATATGAGACAAGTAACGTCTTACATTTTGGATCACAATATGTCTCAGTGTCTTTTTTAAAGGTCCCATGATTACCCGTCCCCTTGTGTGTTATGTAGTTTTTTATGCATGTAAACAGTCTGCAAAGTCACAAACCCTCAAAGTACACCCTGTAGCGGGTAAAACACTAACACAGAAAAGTCCTGTCTATGCTGCCCCAGAACGCCTCGTTGGAGATTTTTATTTTTCCATTTTTTTCTTCCGGGTCATAGTGACGTAACGCCGACCAAATGGAGTGGGCTCATAGGGAGGGGGGGCAGGAGCTCCAACAAGGTGTGTAGGACAGAGAGTGAATACACATGCTATACAGAGATGCTGTATGAGAAACCAATGTGATTATGGAAAATTGTAAATCTATTCTAGTAGACCTCAACAATGAAATTATGATCAGTAGAAATGGCCATGTCATGGGACCTTTAATGCTGCATCACAGTGCATGGATGTCATTTTCTGAACTTACATGCCTATTGTAGCTGTTTTTGTTATTTTCCTTTACTCACTTTTCAAAAATATTTTTAGATTACAAATATAAATTAAGTGGACACAATTATCACGTTTTTTAATCATGTGCATACATCCAGTGTGTCTCCCTCTCCCTGACAGAGATGTAATAGTGTGTGATGGTGCCCTACAGCTGGAGCTAATGAGGACGCTCGCTGCATCTCATTTGTGCCACTTAAGCATCTGATGAGTGATCTGTTAATACTCAACACTAGGAGGGTTTCTGACACCCATTTAAGGCCCCGGCTCCACGAGGACGAAAACGGGTTGAATCCGCATATTCTCATGCGTATAGCCCTCTAAGCTCGACGACGCCGTAAGGGAAACGTAGAAACAGACCCCGCAAACGACAACGGGTCCAAAGGTGGATAGATCTGGGAACGGAGCGCTCTGGGGGGTCCAACGGGGCCGTGGAGTCGCCTATACGGTCATTCGTTTTCATAGCCCCGCCTCTCCCCCGCAGGGTTGCTATCGTGCTCCAGTCGCTACTGACCATGCTACAGTTCTTTGTGCAACATCTACAGGAGCTCCTCCTTGAATTCAGATTATTTATCTTTATCTCGATATGGACATAAACGCGAGTGAAGTCTAATCTGACAGGACGGAGACACGCAGCTCCTGCCGCTGTGATGCAGCGGGAGCAAAACACACACTTCAAGTCAGATCATCACCCTTAGCTATTTTAATTACCTCTCAAACTACCTAAACTAGTTATAAATATGTTCATTTTTACTGTCGGGTCACTCATTACAGGATCAGCTGCTGCATGAGACAGACACTGACGCTGTCAGAAGAGAGGAAAAAGAGACAGGCTCCGTGTATTTGATGATTATATATCATTATATCGTCGTTATTCATTTGTTTTAAAGCTCAATAAATAACAATGAAGACCTTTGACCGGCACTTTTATAATTTTGTCCGGAAGATTTAAACTTTAACACACGCTGACCGGCGAAAAACTCTGCCCGGTTCTGTCGGCCCCCACCGCGGAGAATACACAGAAGTGCAGCCATGACAACCATTCTTCTTCGCTGCTTTTGTGGAGGAAGTTGCTGCTTTTGTGGAGGAAGTTACAGCGCCACGTACAGGTTCGGCATATGTACTGCAGCTTTTCCAGCGTTTGGATGTAAACGGAGCCGTCTCGTGGAGCTTGACACAATCCGGTGTATATTGCGTGGGGACGGAAGGTTTTTTGCGGTTGCATTTGCGTTACTCCAATGCGTTTTGCCGTATTTGTCCTCGTGGAGCCGGGGCCTAAAACTCAGAGTGGAGTTTTGCCACCTACTGTAACCAGGTACTTGAGAACCCATAGAGCAACTTATAGTGTCTCACCATGTAGTATCCAGGTAGTAATCTCTGGAGAAATTTGGCCTCTTTGTGCTGGACGGTTTTAATGATGAACTCGTCATCGCTGGTCAGGTAGAAGAGAGAGCCGCTAGCTCCCGGGTTGGTCAGCTCGATCAGAGGCTCATTTACGAGGGAGTACTGAGGAAGGAAACATAAACAAACCAGTTTAACATTTCAAGTGAAACAGAGGTCACACTTGGAACATATCCAGACACGAAACAGCTCTTATACAGAACAGACTGAAGTTTACATGGAAAAAGTATTAAACTAGAAGGGCACTGGGAGAGTTCAGACCTCCGCCAAGCTGTGCGCTATTTGCAATGTTTATAAAAGCGAAATATAATGGGTGTAACCATCCCGTGATACAGATCCGCTCCAGAACTTTATGAGTTCTTCCTGGATTATTGCTTCACCCTGAGCCACTAGTTATTTTCGGTTTTCCTGGTGACAAACAAACAAACCATCCAAAAACATAACCCCCTTGTCGGAGGTAATAAAGATGCTACACCCCAGGCAGTTTTTTATTAAGTGCAGAGAAAAGCCTTGCACATCATCACTTACAGTAACTCTTGTGATACAAACTATTAAATACATGTTTTTGTTTTAGTGGCTTTATTCATGTGGATAAAAAAAGTATGTAGCCAACCAAAAAAAAAGTAAGAGTATACTCGGACATCACAATGAAATGAAATGTGATAGCTTAACATCAGGGAAGGCTTCCCACACAATTTAGATCAATGGCGTAAGAGACATAAGGCCTAGCCGTGTGAGATTTAGGTTTTAAGTCAAGGATCTGTGCAGGCCGGTCAAGTTATTGCACATTTGATGCAGTGCAAGCTATACCAAGCTGTTTCCACAAAGTTGGAAGTATACAATTCTCCAAACTATCCTTATATGATGTAGAATTGAGATTTCCTTAAGTTGAAATAACTCCACAAGTACACAAACGTATTTGATAGTCAACATACTGTTCGCCATATACTGGATATTTCAAGAATGACAATGACAGGGGGTCTCTGTCTACATTATTTTCATTGTTTAAATCCCATCTTGATCACATAAGCCCAAATCTATATGCCAAACTTCTCTGTTGACAAACAGTTAAACTGCGCACTAACAGGAATGCAGAGAAATACAAGCTGGTATTATTAGGAGCAAGTACTGCTTGTGCAGGACCAAATCGAGAGCATTCATCCTAACGTGGCAATCACCAGAGACACGGTGAGAGCATCCAGCTGAAGAGCAATGTTGGATGTTATCCGTGCATCATGAGAGTGACATGTTCAGAGTAGAAGAGCAACACTGGAGACTCTTCACCGGTGGCCGTCTGCAGTCACACTGATTTACAAGAACAAACACATCTGCAGTGTAGTGCATTTTCATTCAGGATGCAGTGTGTGTGTGTGTGTGGTTTCTCTTTTAATTAGACTCTGCTGTGTGGCCTCTCTCTGTCTGAATGAATTCATCTTTACCTCAAAGACATCAATCATGAACACATCCTTTAAGCTGGTGCGCCTTATGCCATCCTGCCTCTACTGCCTTGATGTTACATATCCTCTCCATCTCTCTTTTGTCTTTCACTTATGCAGAGACAAACTTACCATATAAAAACAAGAATGTAGCTGGTGGGGTCTTTTCATCATAACATGCCAAATCCCAACAACATTAGATAAAATCAAATGTTGTTCCGAGCATGAAGCAGTCACGAATTTGGCATCAAGATGAGCAGCACATTGAATAACATACAGGATGGCATGTACTGCACATTAATAAAAGGCTTTGTCACGGGTGAGTGAGTGTAATCAGACATCCAAGGCTTCAGGCTGAGGCTTTTTTCCCAGGAAACACACAATAGCCAAACAAGCACAAAAAAAACATGAATCACCAAAGAGATTCTGTTTAAAAGTCCTACAAAATTACTCTCTTTTTCTCTCTATCTATTTCTCAGTCTGTTTGTGTCTTCTGGGAAATCACAGAATCATCTGCTGATTGAATTCAGCACTGGGAGCTCAAGCTGTCGTAATGAGGGCGCACTGTGTTAGCTCATTCATTACCCCTAATATCTCCACCGCCCCAGTGTTTTGCCTCGTCGTCACCCTCCCACTCCTAGTTTTCCCCTTGGCCAGTGGTGTGTGGCAATACAAGTCCACTTATCAATCAAATACGTGTTGAATTTCGTCACACTTAAGTACGCACTGACGTAGAAGATTAGAGTTCAATCAATGCTAAGTAATTCATGAGAAAGATAACCAGCAGGTCTCATGGTTGGTTTCCTAATTGTATTTTTGACATGGCGCAGACAGAAAACATGGAACGAAATCAGATTTCCCTTTAAATGAGGACGAATAACTACTGAGCAGAAACAGAGTGTTGTTTAACATAGAGTATACTTGTATCAGAGAGGTGTTCCACAATGGGAAATATGTTTATTAACACATACTGTTAGATAGAACTCCTCAAAGCATTTTCGCTTCCTCACTTTCATGTTAAAAGATAAGATATCACTCCCATGCCTGTCGACTAAATATAAAGCTTGAGCCAGCTGGCAGTTACTTAGCTTAGTTAGCATAAAAAATGGGAACAGGTCTGAAGGCAACACAACATAATTACTAGCTCCTCTAAAGGTCACCTACTTTTACATTTTTGTTTGCGAAACCCATGCAGAAACAGTATAAAAAGAAATGTGGTTTTGGTGGGTTTGTGTGCAGGACTTCATCTTGGCAATGACTGTCATGGCATCAAGTGAGATGTCACTGTGAATATGCATATTTCAAATAATGGCAAACATTTATTTAATTTTTTTCTGCCTTTTTCTTTTGGGAAACTAACATATATTAGGTAAATAATGCTTTTTATAATGTATATGCTTAATTTGATTTGACCTGCATAATTGTAAACAAAGCAGAAAAGACTGAAACTGAAGAGTGGATTATGAGCTTTTAATGGATTATCATAGAAAGGTGGAACAAATAATAACCAGTTATGTCTCAGACAGTTTTAAGTCTTACCAGGTAGTCGTCTGGTTTGATGCCGAACAGATCCCTGAAGTAGCGGAAAGCCAGCGGAGCGTAGGTCTTGAAGCGAAAGTCCGGATAGTGATGTGCGGGGGTCAAGTTGCTTCCCTCACTGCGATGTGTGATGAATAACAAAGACCAGCAGGAAACAAAAACAAATAATGGTACATGAGATACATTAATCCAACACTCAACTCAAATAAGGGGGCAATAAAGAAAACCTTTAACATTATATAAGTGTTGTTAACACAGTCATCCCACCAAGGATCACCTGTAGGAAGCACCAAGGGGGAATTTGAACCCTAATACGTAATCTGTGTGGCTATTGACTCCCAGCGAGTGTACCGGTGGGCCCTTGTAATGTGCTCCACCCATGCATGAACAGGCTTTAGTAAGTCATCTCTGGGAACCCAGATTCTCCAGTATTGTGCTAACAAACGGGCCAGTATAGAGTTCCTCACCTGGAGACTAAGGATGGCTCTGATTACTGGGTCTAAACAATACCACACAACAGATGAGCCTTGACTCTGAGCGGGAGAAAGGGAAAGGTGAAAATGAAAAACAACAAAAGGGACAAAATAAACGACATGTTGTTGATCTGATTAAACTGTGGAACCTTTGACAATGACCCTGTTTTATAACCTGTGTCCAAGGGGAAGACCACAACACAGGCACGTCTAATAAGGTTAGCATGAGTCAGACATTGAGTCTTTCATCATAAAATAAATTACACTGACCCGAAATCTACAAGGATTCGGTTTACTAAAGGGTTTTGCTTTCCAGAGCACCTCTAAATCCGTTTACTATTCTGAGGACTTAGATGGTTTTCTGGGTAAAAAGGCTACTGTGTTGTTATTTGGTAGTGCTATATCCAGTAATAGGATACAGGCAACAAGCAAGCACAGTCGTGTAAAACAATACCTGTGATTACTCTGCAGTGAAATCTGACTGCTCTGTGGTGAGGGCAACAACAATGATCTATCATCAATGACTGACAGTCCATGTCCGTAACATACGCCTGCATGGAAACCATTCAACAACACACCTGAACGTTTTTCATTCAACCTAATCAGAGAGCAGAGTGTGTGTTTATGTGTCAAAGTGATCGCTGACCCCTCCAGCCAGCCAACACTGCCAAGAGGAAGAAGAGAGTGAGAAGGAGCAGCATCGTAGAGCCGTCTACATACTCAGCCGCTCTCTCAGGAGGCGTTTGTGTTTGTTTGCTTTCACAGAAAACAACAAAAGCATTTGGATAAGGTAAAGAAAAATAGAGGCAATCTTGATATTAGATCCCACCACCCACACTACTTCTGGCACCTTTGCTCACACCACACCCATCTTCGAACTCTGCCTTTACTTTGATCATGCAACCTCTTTAAAGTCAACTTTCATTTTGACACTATTCAAACATAAGGTTTTGTGACTGCATATTTCACGGTTGGGGCGTCATAACAGTGACTGCTCACAGCCAATCAGATATAGAGACATGTGGTTAATTCCTGAAAACCTCTTCTGTGGTAGTTCCCGCTACAGGAGGTGTCTCATTTGCAATTATGACACACACACACACACACACACACACACACACACACACACACACACACACACACACACACACACACACACACACACACACACACACACACACACACACACACACACACACACACACACACACACACACACACACACACACACACACACACACACACACACACACACACACACACACACACACACACACACACACTCACAAGGTGAAAGCAGTAACCAGCCTTGCTGTTAGTAATAAAGAGGGAAACGGTTATGTAAGATGCCAGATGTAGGGCATCAGTTTTCTCTCCTCCTAATTGTGTTTCGGGTCATTTTCTTTTCCCCTAACTCTGTAACGTTGATGTTTTACTTCAGTTCACATACTCATTGAAAAACTGGCCTTGAAGATAACTTAGCTTCTATTTATTTTACCGATTATGTGAAAAGGCTTGACATTGGCTGAGGATGATATAACGATCATGCTTTAAACTATTGATATAATGCAATTCATTATTTGAGCAAAGCAACAGCAGGTTTTTGAACACTCATCACTGTAGGGCAGACAGCGTGCCAAAACCAGGTTTGCATGAACCAGAATGGATTTGCATATGGTGCAGCATCTCAAAGATAAACAACAAAGTATTTCCTAGCAGGAATCCAGTTCTCTTCCTGAAGCTTCAGAGATAAAGATCTTGGATGATTCATGCATTTGGCCACAGATAGAAAACCAACTTGTGAACACATGCTTGTTTTCATCTATTTTATTATTTTAGCTTGAATGCTCTTGTTTTTTAGGATAGGATTTAGAAGGGCAGTTTGTAAATAGAAAAGGAAAAAAAATGTACAACACCCAAATCCTATAAAACACTATTGGACACTATTGTCCATTGTGAATGTGTAAACGACATTGTCATATACTGATTACCAGTATTGTATGTTTATATCTCACTTTAAAATTATTCCGGGGTCTGTTGTGGATTATATCAAATGTCTCTTTAATCTGATGATGTGATTGTGAGGACAGCCGGACATGACCAGCCACACTCTGACATATGTTTTACACCGTGTCAGCAAGAGACACATTATAAGCCGATTTCACAGTTCTTGGCAGGATAATGCACCAAAATAGTTTTATCCCTGCATCATGATTTAGACTAGCAAAATGAAATAAGCAGCGATTGTGGGAGATTGTGGTAGCAGCACAATTTCCTCGGACAAGAGGTCCAGCGCCTGCAGTTTCCACTGAGCATGATTAGTTGTCATTTTGACTGTCTTTTTTTACAAGACCCAGACATATAATATTTGAGCAGGCTGACTGGCAAAGCTCACTCTGTAGTCCATTCATTCACCTTGCAGTCAGGAAACAGTCGCAGCCAAAGAACCGCCTGTTTCTACCCACACACAATCTGTTTTTATGAAACACTTCTCTAAATAATTGCCTCCTGTAGACTTATAACCTTGAGCTTATGCAAAAGTCTGGCTGTTTTTTTTCATGACATTGAGCAAACTATTGCTACACAATGAACTCACACATCGAACGATTTCTTCAGAAAATGTATAAAAGCTGTCTTCCTGTGTACGGAGGCTGTGTGCGCAGCTATGGACGTATGCATGTGTGGGTTGACGCTACTTAACACTGACCTGGGCAGAAACACACTCTCCACCACATAGAAGTCTTGCATAAGCACGTCTCTGTCAGGCTTGGAGGTGAGGTTGCCCACTGTATAGCCGATTCCGAGCTGAATGGCCCCCTTCAAGGCCGATGACGTGGTCTAGACGGGAACATAGAAGAGAAAACATCCCATTAGTCAGGCTGTTACATCACCCTGTCACTGCTAAACCAATCACATACTAAATATGTTGTTAATGTAAACAAGGGAAACTAGAAAAAAAAAGCCCAAAAGTGATAAAAAAGAGATCTAGAAAAATCTAGAAAGTACTAAGGTGAAAACTTTACAGGGTATTTAAAAGGAATTTATGGAGAATATGTGAATTCATGGGAAATAAAAACATCATCTGCTTAGGCTGTTTACCATGTCATATGCAGATAGAAACACACTTTTTACCATATGATAAGCAGATACAAAAATGAATGTACCAAATAAATCCATTAATTGGTTTCATACATGCAGTGTAACGTGCCATGCGTTGAATTAGATAGCTAGCAAATGGGAGGTACTTAAAAATCTGTCGGTCAATAATACTGGCTGTGTGCAAACTCAGGGTTTAAAGGTGGGGTAGGTGATTTTGGAGAAACCAGCTCGAGTGCGCTGGAATTTGAAAATACACAGCCGGAAAAAATCTGCCACTTCCTTACAGAGCCCCTCCTCCAACACACACGAACGCGCACATGACCAATGAGGGCACGATATAAGTTTGTGCACAGATGGAAGGCTGACAGGCAGGTAGGCCATCCAGTTATTTTAGCCGGGCCGGCTAAAATGATTGGTGGTGCTTTTTACAGTACTACGGCTTCCACAGAGACAGATGACATTTTTTTATGGATTCTTTGTCAAAGCACTTAAGATATTCATTGCTATCGGGATGTTAAGAGCATTCCATGGAATATAACAAAAAGTGTATCTCGAGCCGGTTTCTCAAACTTACCTACCCCACCTTTAAGTGAACAAGTTAGAGAAAGATGTTTACAATAAATACATTTATTAAAACTCCTGAAATGTTCTTTTTTTCAATGCGATGCTAACAAATGATCTGTAGGTGTAATGGAAAACTGTGATGGTGAAAGCAGTGCATGGTTACAATTCCAATAAATTGGCAATTGACCATACATCAAGGCAATAAAGTCAACTCATATTTTGTTAAGTACAATGTTGTAGTATAAATTGCACTAACATTAAAACCCAAAAAGACTGGGACATAAACACCCTAGTTCTTTGGTTGCGTGGCCACCACAGAAAGACCTTTTTAGTCCCAACCTGAACAGTGGGGGCCACTGTGGAGAGCCTTGTAATGGTGACATCCTAAGAACCACTGACGTCTCGAGTAAAACAAAAAAGAGGAAAGAAAACAAGTGTGACCGGCACTTGACTGATCTCTGGCAGCTGGCCTTGGCAGGGGTCAGGACGCAATGTGCTGTAGAAGGACATTTATAAGGACTCATGTGACTCAGACTCAGACCTTGTGGACTTGTTGGCTCTATACAGTGGCATTTCAAAATAAATGTTGTGGAAGCAGGATGACATTAGTTTTAAGAGGCAAATAAAACCAAACACAGTTGAGCTTTGTGTGAATAGTTTTTACCTTTTTGTAGGTTTTCTCTCTGCTTGTGTTCCAAGGCCCTCCCATCCCATTCTCTGTTGTAGTTGACATCTGAAAGAGACATAAAACAGTGTTAAGGAAATGACTTGGACTACTTTTACAACTTAAAATTGTTCCATGATGAATGTGGTGACTGAAAAAAGTCAACGTACCTTGCCTAATGAGAAGCTGTTACAGACAAACAGCAATCAGGGCGACATCTCCTGATTGTCAGCGAACATCAGGATGTCTGGATCCGTGAGAGGACCCTCTGCAAGGTAACAGACACACAAAGTATAAAAAAATGCAGGGTTGAAAAAGATGTGACCGAGGGCGGGATGTCAATCAGCAAAGAGTCCTTGATTAACAGCAATGCGTTTGAGACCACTTTCATGCCACCACTCTCCTGTTAATCTCTGCCTGATTGGAGAGGCAGTTTAGCAAAACTCTCACTGTTGAACTGACCTCCAGCAAGATATCTCTGCGTTTGACAGTCAAAAAACAACAATCCTGATCGTCCTGTGTGTGTGTGTGTGTGTGTGTGTGTGTGTGTGTGTGTGTGTGTGTGTGTGTGTGTGTGTGTGTGTGTGTGTGTGTGATAAATAACACCTCATAAAGAAGGGTGTATGAATGAGCTGTAGCCCGGGGCACTTTACAGTTTACAGCACAATCAAAACCTAACTGAGACCCAACAATCTGCCTCATCTGCCTCATCTGCCTCAGTCTCATATCCTCATATGTGAATGATTGTAATGTACCCTTTCTATTCTGCCCTCCTAACTATTTTCTAGTGTTCTCCTGTTTCACTCCCTTACATTCCAGAGAAATAAGGCAGAGTGACACAAATCAATGAAACTGTGACAAGATTGTGTCCTCTAGTGAGGGAGGAAAAACAGGGACACAGACAAGGAGTAGAGGCGTAATAGAAACACCGGCAAATTTTGGACTTTGTCTGATAAGCTCAGTCAAGCCTGCAGTCGCAGCCCCACCTGCATATAAATGCACCTGCAGCTCTCAGAGTACACTGTCTTTTTGCTGTGGTCGCACAGAGAATATACACACTTTGAAAGTCTATAACTACCTTTAAAAAATGCTGCAGTGCAGGGTATATTGCTTATCAGAATATGTTGTAACCATGTTTAAAAATAGTCTTCAAAAAGCAGCAGTGTGTTTTTACGCAATAACATGTTGACACACAAACAGACGCAGATATTAAAAGAATGTAGTAGACACCAAACCCTTATCTACAGGCCGGGTCATTATCTGCGCACCGGCTCTTCTGTTGCTATAAACAAAGGGACAACACGGATGCATTTTAGCTTGAGGCGCACCTCCCATATATTTGTTTTTGCATCATTCAATCCTTCTCCATCTAAAAAACACTCAGTCTGTTGTTTTCACCTATTTGGAAGGAGCTCAAGCACATTATAGTCACAGAAAACGTGTTACCTCATCCTTAGTAAAAGGATCACGTTTGTCAAATGACTTTGTGTGAGTGCAACTGAGGCAAAGGTTGCTTTTAACACCTAAATATCCTGCTATTATAGAAATACATCAGAATATTTCTCCTCACTACTGTGCAATGAGGATTTGATCCACTTGAGCCATCACACTGTATGACTGTCTGTGTGCTCTGAACCTGAGGAATTTTAATGAGCCTGCAGGCCTATCCGGCTCTCTGCTCAGTCCTGGCCTGTCAGTGTTAAAAGAGAATGTTTGGACCTCTCTCCCCCTCTCTCTTTCACTCCCTCCCTGTCTCTCACCTGACCCCACAACCCAGCCGGTGCTCTAACAGACTGTTTCTAGAACAATCTGTGAGAGGCCTGCAGCTGCAGCAGGTCTGTTGTTCCCCTCTCAACAAAAGAGAGGCAGACAGATTGTTTGACACGTGAATGAAAATGGATCATCCTAATCAGCCATATTTTACCACTGTCACACACTCCCATTGCAAATATAATCAGCAAACAGCAGTATAACAGGGAAACAAGAGAGCATGCTGTTGATGTAAAACTATACGTTTTTGCAAGTCACAATTATATTACCGAGAGCTACAAATACAAAAATGCATAATTGAGTCAAATCAATACCTTTATTGGATTATGGATGGACTGAGGACCAAATGGGCAAGGTTATACACACTTTGCAATCGAAAGGCTAAATGTAGACCAGAAAATAATTTCAGTGGAATGAGAAGAATTACACTTTGGGTCAGTTCCTATTTCACACAGTTGTCAAGCTTGTACATGACACACATACACAGTAAACAGACAAATCAACTTAAACGTAAAACAGAATCTGTTGTAACTGCAAAACTTCCTTGACAACTCACCACAGCTCTTCCTTTGTCAAAAGCCACACTTGGTCAACACTTAAAGAAAGTACTTCTTTAATCCACTTTATCTTTCAGTCTTGTGAAGCAATTTGTGACTTCTGCTCTTAAGGAGATTCTCCGTAAGTAATGTTAGCTCTTTCCTCCTTCGGTCTCTCTGAACGTAAACAACGCTCTGCCCGCTCGTCCACACACCCTTGTCAGAAACTCTACCACCCTTCAAACAAACACACTTGAGTTCAGATCAAACACTGGCTCTCATGCCATATCTCCTCCATGGTTTCAGGGATATTGCCAAGGGCGCCAGTCAGCCCTGTGGAAGTCAAATCGTCTCTCTGTAGCCAAGCTGCTCTGGCGAGGAAAACACGTTAATGAGAGCAGACATGGGTCGTCTGGTATGATACAAATGCAGATCTAATGCATCTGAAGTGTCAACGCGTCAAAGCTGTGGAAATATCGCCTCACTGGTCTCAGTAGGAAATGTCATAATAATAGTAATCAAGACAGAAACCAGGCAGTTTACCCAACCATACTTGCTTTAGAAAGATATCTGAAAAATCCTGTATGTCTTCCTATAGCGAGACCTGTTTATTTGACAAGAGTGAAACTGTAATTTCCACAGTAGAGCACAACCATTTTCCAAACCATCTGATCATGACAAGGAGGCTCCAACAGCTTTAATCGCAAGGACACAGACACTTCATAGCGGTTTATTTTTGCTCTGCTTTGCCTCAGTCCCAAGATACTATTGGATTACTGCAGCAGATTGGAGACATAATGGAGAATCAATAGCAGACCATCAATGCAGAGCGCTGAGGACCAGACTGCTGGGCTTTCATGACCTTCACAAATCCCGCCTGCCGCCTGCGAGATGTTGGATAAGCACAGATATCTGGATTTGCATGGATACAATCAAGAAGATGCATGTGGGAAGTCAGCTTAGCTCGGCTTGCAGGGGATCGGCTTCATTAACTTAACTGCTCTGATCCTTCATTAAGGCTCAAAGAAACTCCACCCAAGCAACATTTCACTCACAAAAACTTGTTCAGTTGCATTGTTGTAAAATATAAGGAAATAGACAAAGAACAATAGGAAAAAAATGACATTTCCCATGGCTAAATGGCGTAGAGCAGTATTCATTATCTTTCCGAAGCCTTGTGTAAACACTTGTTCACTGTTTGGTGTGTCAGTGCGATTACATAATTGGCTTAGTTACCCCAACCGTGTAAAATAGATCCTTCTGTGAAATGTGTCATGCTCTGTTATGAATCATATACTGGGAAACCAATCTGATGTGTGGGCTCCCCTCCACAAACCAAGCAGAATTGATCAGACGTCTAAATGGCAATCACAAACAAACAATATGTCGTCCTCATCACCTCAAAAACATTCAGATTCATTCCTTGGCTAACGTTTCGATGACTGTGTTTACAGTGTTTTGCTAGCAGACAAAAAGTGAGACAGGCGGAGGAGAAGAAAATGCTGGGCAGTGGGACAGACAGTGAGGGGGATAGAGTCTCACAAACACTGTCTTTGTGAAACGTTCAGTAAAAAATAAATATCTGCTTGTTATTGTCAAAGAGATACACACATCATTCAGGAGCTCTGCTCTGCTAGTACCATCCAATTCAAACAAACCGCCCAAAGAAAAAAGCAAATAACCTCAAGGCAAACTGAATATAAAAAGCTGCACATCTTATACTGTACACACACACACACACACACACACACACACACACACACACACACACACACACACACACACATACACACACACACACACACACACACACACACACACACACACACACACACACACACACACACTGTTGTTTTCTCCCTGGTGAGTCCCCACATTAAATGAAGCAGTAAAACAGCAGGCAGGTATTATTTTGGATGGTTTTTGGGGCACTCTGTTCCATATTTTTCTGTATCCTCTGGAGGTGTGTTTTTTTTTATCATCGCTCTGAGGGACAAGCTGTGCTGCAGAGATCTGCCTGCGTACATCAGGCACTATGCAGCACTGCAGCGCTTGCAAAGAAGTGTGTGTATGTGTGTGGTGAGTATATGTACTGTATATATATAAACAAGAAAACCAATCTGTAGCCACACTGGCAGCCCATCGCACCGTTTGATTGGTTGGATCTACAATGTGCAGACATCTTCTATTACCAACATTAGTAAGGAAACAATGTTTGAGCCAAGGGCAGCGCTAAATGAAAAGACTATGAATAGGTCAAAATGTTTTTCCTATTGTTCCTTGTTGGGGAATAATTGCTGTTATGCATGTTAGAATATCCACATTATCCCGTATTTTGCATTGATTTCAGAGTACATCTGGGACTAATGGGAATGTGTGGTCCAAAGTTTTAAATGCATCTTTTCATGAGACTGACAACAACCCAGTAGTTGGAGAGTTTTGTACAAATGGACTGATGAACCGGCCAAAAGAGTGTACATTAAATTCTCTACATCTTACAATATGATGCAGAAATGTGAAACTGTAAACAATGAAAATGGCTGCTGTCCCTAAAGTGTGGGCTCCCCTCCAATCGCCAAGTAGAAATGATCAGTCGGATAAATGGCAATCATAATCAAACAAAGTGAGCACATGTGAGATATATCACTTGCCAGGCAACTAGCACCAACAAAATGTACACTTTAACTATGGACAGTGCTTGACCTTTTGTAAACAGCAAACAAAGCGAAACACTAGGTGGGAGGGAGAGAGAGAGAGGGACTGCACGACGAGCGCTTTGACCTTTCCGATGACACGAGATGAAAAGAAAAAATGAGCGAAACAGAAGAAGGGGGTGAAAGAGACCGAGGAGGATGACAATGGGAGAGGGAAACAGAAACAGTGAACAATAAGTAGGATAGTAAACATTTTGGTGGGTGCTTCAACAAGACTACACCAAGTGTTATTCAAAGCAATGCAAGTT